AGCAACATATATCCAGTGTTCAGAAGAATTATTCCACAACAAAATGGGTTAATAAAAAAAAAACAGGAAGTTGTGAGGAGGCATATTTGGGAGGTAAATGGGACTTGGAGCAGAGAGATGGGGTGAGTTATATATGAACACATTTCATTGAATCAATGTTTGAAATTCTCAAATAATTTTTTAAAGCAAGGCACACTAAACAATGTAGTTGCTTTTCTCTGTTCCCTAAGTTCATAAAGATCACTACCCTGCTCTGTGGCAATACAATGCTGCAGAGCCATTATATTTAGGACAGTTATCATTTTCTTTTTAATAACTACTTTCCACTGATTTTTTCTAATATGCTACCCAGGCCCCGTGTCCTCTCTAGAAAACGGGTGACTCGATGTATTACTATTTTCTTTGTCTGTGCCAACTCTTCATGATTATTCTTAGCACATTTCATTTTGGAGGACTTGTCTAATGGTTAAATCAAGTATGACTCTTTCATATAGCCTCCTGCCCACTCAGCCGCTCCCGCTGCCTGCCTTTCTGGGAAAACTAAATAAAGCAAGATTAAATCTTTAATATATATTTAATAAAATTTTAGTAAGTTTGTAAAATTAGTAAGGTAAGCATTCACAAATACTAGAAAACAAACAAAAAACTAATTTTACACAAACCAGACCACATACAAGTATTCTAAAGGAAAAGCACACAGAGAATCAGGAAATAGAATCAGAGAGAAAAGTAAAACCAGGAATATGATAAACAAAGTCTATAAAAAGCCTAAAAAGGAAAAAAAAGATGTTTCTAAATTGTTCTTTCTAACGAAATGCACGGTTTACATTGGACACAGATTTTTCAAGATAGTTCTGATACAGCATCAAAAAACAATTAAGAACATAAGGAAATAGGAAAACAGTCCAAAACTGTGGGATGCCTTGCAAGGCACCACTTAATACCTGACAATTGTGTTGTTGGGGTTCATAAGGACCCTAAGTCATGGCTACTCTCATATGAAATGACTTAGTTTTATTTACTTCATTACAAAAAAACTTCATAGCATTCAAAAAGATGTATGAGTTCTAAGCTATTTCTAATAAGTATAGATTTAGAAAGCCTACTATTCTGGACCAAAATTCATTCGCCTTTCTTGGACAATGTCCTAACCACCACACATTTCCAGGCCTAATGTTCTAATGTGTGGTGGCTGCTCAACAAAGAAGACAGAGACGAACGGTGCCACCTTCGCTCGGGAAGCTTTTCTCTTCAACAGCTACATTCTAGTGATGGTGGTGACCCAGCTCTCGACTCTGTGGTGACAGGAATGGAGAGTAGAGCTGCCACACCAACCCACACTGTTCTCCTACATCTTTTAAGAAACAGAAACATCTACTTTTTTGCTATAGCAGCTTGGCCTAGCTAGTATAACTGTCTCTTCTCATAGAGTCAAGCTTCCTTCTAAATCAATGAAGTCAGCCCTTGGCAAATCACTGTCCTTCAAGAGATTCAGCTTTGGGCAACAATACTAGCAACAAAATGAACAGATTTAAAAAAGAATCTGAGAAACAGTTTCTTTCTAAAAAGTTCAGCCTGCAGCTGGCCTATAAATTGAGGTAAATTCTTTCTGAGGTTTCTGCTTCAGGCGGCTGTGTTTTACTGAGACAACAAGCATGGCTTAGAGTAAGAGATGACTTTAAAAGATACTCCCTTTCCATCTAGTGAGCTCCTTGGGGCAAGCGGGCTAAGGCAGTGAAGTGACAACCACGGGAGAACTTCCCGGCTGCATTCTTCCTCAGCTGTGGCATTTCCCCTGCTTTCATCCCTACGACACCACCAGGCTTGCTCATATCTCACTGTGAGAAACAAAAGTGTGAATGCTTCCTGTCTGTCGAGGGAACTGAAAGCCTTCTTTGAGTTTACTTTACAGACTGGCTGCAGGGTGTCACATGACACACTGGTAGAAGCTACCTTCACAATTACCTACTTTGTAGGAGATTTTAAATGGCACCTTAATAAGCTAAGAAATGCAACCATGTTCTCTTCTTCAAAGTCTTCCAACTGGGAATTCTAATTCAGGAGGAATATCAGTTTGGACTTAAATCAGTGTTTTTTTAAGTACACATTACTGGTGACTGTCATATACACTGCCAACCTACTGGCACCCTGAGTTCAAAATTAGTTCAAAAAATCTGGTTCAAAGAATGGTGTGTGTGTGTGTGTGTGTGTGTGTGTGTCCACATACAAGCATGTATTTTCTATTTCAATTGTTTTAAAATATCAAATCCACATACCCCTTGGGACCAAGTTATCTTTCTTCAAATCACCACTGTTTATATCCTGATTGTCAGTATATGAATGTGGGGCGCCTACTTCGCGTATTTAGTCATTACAGTTAATAGAAGAACAAAGTGCTTTACTCTCGTGGACAGCAAGGGCTATGGAAGACCAGTTCATTTCCAGCATAGACATAATTCACACTCGTTCAAGAGGTATCAATAATGACTCTCAGGGAGCAGTCAGGTCTGTCCCAAGAGTGTCTGCACAGTGTGATGTAGAGTGAAGACTGAAATTTGCACTCTATCTAAGCGTAGCAGTGAACTAAACATAGAAATGCATAAACAGAAGCAAAACATTAACCAGATCTGACACATCCCTGCTAATTTTGAGGATTAGTATAGCCAGCGTTTGACATTTAAATCAGACACTGCATGCATTCAAAGACCTGAGCACTGACCAAACCCACAATACCATCAGCAACTACCAAAGAAAAGGTAAAAGTGGGGGGCACTTAGCTGTCTCCAGTAGACCAAATCTAAAGCTTAAGAACATAACTCACAGGGAAGCCTCCCTGTCTAACTAAAAGACACACACACACACACACACACACACACACACACACACACACACACA